GCAGGAGGGTGAGGTCCTCCTGCTTGTTACCCATACTACGATCTTGGCTGTTCTCGTCATCCTATGGAGCCTGCTGCCAGCCTCATCTTTCTGTGACATTTCCAAATTGTTCTCAAATTTCAAACCTCAATAAAAAAGAAAATTAAAAAGGAAAGTTTCAAAGGAAGCCAAGGAGCTGAAGAGAAATGCTTGGAGGGAGGGGATGGAAAGCTTCCACCCACTTTTCAGGAGCATTAAATTAAATTTACATTTGTTACATATGTTAACTGTGAAAATCCTGGGCAATTAGGACCTCCCTATAAAATTATTTTGGTGGTAAAATCAGAATTTGGGGGGGGAAAGGCTTAAAAATTCTGCCAAAAATCTAGTAACAGACTTTAATTGTTTAGAATGTGATGAAAAATACTCTTTGGGAACAGCAAATCAACAGTCAGCCCATCCCAGGACTGGAATTAGAGAAAAAGGGAATCTGTTCCAGCAGACTGCTGGGATCAGAGGAAGCAAGTGGAAACGCCACAGCAAACAGCTTTTACTTCACCTAAGACGTTTGACTACTGAAGGGGTGGGGACCCTGACCTGCATGGCCCTCATGATTCAGGTGCAGCTCAAAGTCTGGCTGTGGACAGCTTTGGCCTTCTACACGCCTGCTGGATCCCAGAGGCTGACAGGTAGGAAGTGCATCTGCAAATGCTGAGCAGTTTAATTGGTGCTGGGTTTCACCTGATTCTCCACAGAAACCAGGAGGAGGTTTGTTGTACTGATAAAAACAATTGTCTGGTTGACAGAAAATTAACTTTGCTCTAGGGTGAGCTGTGTTTAAAGTGAGGGACGTCTGATGGCAAAGTTTGTTTCCAACTGACTTAAGGATGCCGTATTCATGACAAATGCTGCTTATTTGTCTCCACCCCAATGCCTTTGCTCCCCTTACAGTATTAGTTAACACCTTACAGGTGGTCACCTATTGAATTATCTCTGATGAAATACCTGACTGACCCCAATGTGAGACACCCAATTGCCTGCTTGCATGAGACCAACTGACCTGCCATGACTTGGTGGCACAGGAAAGGTCTTAGGCTGCTGTTGAAGATCACGTTTTTTTCAGTACTGTATAGAGAATTTCCAGGTGCTGTGATAATAAGGTTGCTGACTGGGAAAGCTCCTTGGGGATCCCCTGTAAAAGAGTTGCTATTCCAGAAGGACGTTGAGCAGATTATTTTCATACATTTCTCATTACATTTTATTGTGCTTAACTTACGTTTTATTCTACCTGCTACACTAATGCTGCAACAGGTTTTTAAAACATTAGAGCAGTTTGGTGGTTATTCAGTGGGTTCACTGAACCCTTGCTCCTGCACATCTCCTAATAGTGGTAACTTTGAACTTAACTACAGGCAGAAGGTGACATGAGAATCAGGTGCGTATGGGGTGGGAGCTGGCAGGTGGACTGAGGGAGGGGGAAGGCCAGCAAACAGCTTTCAGAGGATGCGGTATGTGTACCTGAGCTATAAGTCCCACTAGGCAGTGCATGGAGGAGAAGGGAAACAGCAGCTAGAATCCCAGCTCACATTCCAAACGCACATCTGGCTTTGATCAGGGAGCCTGCAGCTGTGTTGAGAAATGAGGGGAGAGCACTTATTTCTTCAAATGGCTCTCAGCAGTCTCTTGGGGAGCTTTACTCCAGAACGGAAAGTTGGAAGCTGGTTTTGGTAGCAGCAACTACACAAACAACGAATTCAATTAAGTTTCTGTCTATTACTGCACCTGATAATTTTAACTTCTGAGGTACCAAAGACATATGCTGAATACCTACTCCTAGTTTACACAGCATAACTTTTGCCTCTTAGTTCCCCGACAAGTAGACCAGGACATGTTTCTCCATCCCATAAAAAGACAAGGGAGTCTCCCATTCCCTACCCATCTCTTCACTACTGTCAGCATTGCTTCCTTCCACACAGAGAGTCCGTGTTTCATGCTGGTTGTTCTCCAGCACTGGCCCACCCATTGCAACCTGCTTCTACTTATTCCTTTGTGGCCTGGAGGAGTTAGTTTGAAAAAAAGTAGAAAGGCAGCTTGGATTATTAACACACAGGCCAAAAGAGAAAGAACACTAGATGCTATTTTTCAGTAGCTAGAAACTCTCACACTGGCATCCGTAGCTACTTTGAGCAGTGACATCCACTCCTAGTGCTCCAATAGTGAATGACTTAATTGAACAATATCTATGTCTGACACTAGGGGGAAATAGAAAAGCAACTGCAAAATTGGTGGGTTTAGGATCCCACCCAGTCAAAATGGGACTGCTATAATTCTCCACGTGAAGGGTTTCCCCACAGGTATATCAAAGCAGATGCTTTTTCTCTCACAGAGCCAGCTACAGAATCAGGCCCTCTGGAAAGCACAAGATCACCATTCTGAAACTCTTTGTTCACTTCCTTGAGCCTGTTTTACCTCTTGGATAAATCCCATTCTGCTCTCCAAAATCCAGTGGTTAGAATCTCTGTTCCTTTATTTGGTGCTCAGGTATAAACACCTCAGAAATATCAAAGACAGACAGATATAAGAGAGAAGATGGAAGATGTTCCTCTCTCAAACTCAAAATGTTGCTCTCTCAAACTCTGTGGCTGTTTAATATTTTCCAGATGAACAACTTCACAGTAAGGACCAAGCTGACGTGAACAAGTTTCATAACAAGCTGGAGGATGCACACATCATGCTAGAGGTCATTTGGGTATTCAGGGACCTGTGGGAAAGAATGAGAGAGTGCAAGTGTCTGTGTGCACATGGGGGGTGGAGGAAACCTGCCAACCAAAAAAAATCCCAAATATTTATCTCGTTCTCACTGCTTTCACATTGCGGGGTCTTGGCAAAATGCCCTAGTGCTGTCTCAGCACAGTCATTGCCATGCTTAATCAGACACATGAGGATAAACTAGCCTAAGGAAGATCCCATCTCTGAGGAAGATGCAAAAAACTTCAGAGTTGGATAACCTGCCTGTTGGGGACAAGTCTTCCACTTCTCCCACCTCATTAAGTGGTTGACTTTTGCTTCAATAAAAGATACTTTCACTCTGTTTATCGGGTAAGCAGAATAAATCTGAGCTGTGCGGAAGTGCATGGGATATGAGAGGGATGCTTCGGGGCAGAGAGAAGAGGGATGCACCAAAGGAATGGAGACAGGAGCTTCAGGGGGCAAGGAGGGCAGAAGAGGCCCAGTGGGAGACACAAGAAGAGGCACTAAACAAGGAGGCCAGAGGGGCCATGGACTCACCGGGTATTGTGATGCCTCCAGGATTATAGGGGTTGTTTCCAAGCTGCTCCCAATCCTAGTAGTAGTAGCATTACCACTCCTAGCCCATGACCTTGGCTTCCACTCCTCTGCATAAGAGGGGGAGTTGGGGAGGGACACAGGATTGTGTAGGAGCCATGATGGGAATGCACTGGGCTAAAAGGGAATGGGGGTGGGGTTTGAGCACCTTGGCAGGGAGGAGAATTATGGGAGAAGGGTCTGGGTGGGAGGAAGTTGGTAGGGGTCATGGAGGGACAGGGAAAATGCAGGAGGAGGCAGACAGGCAGGAGTGAGAACCAAAAACCCACTGGCTTGTTCCAACATACCTGGCTTTACTTTTAACAATTGTGTTTGCAAATTCCATTGCTCAGGAAGCTCTCAGTCCCACCCACTCTGTGCAAGCCTAGCATTGCTAGTATCAGGCGTCACCTCATAATCCCTGTAGCAGACCTTCTGCTACAGGCCTGTTGTTTGTCCTGGACTTCCTGTTTTCATGATGCCATTCTCTTCTAGTTGCTCTGGGCAGGGCTGGAGATTGAAGCCAATGAGACAGTCTGGGTCCAGGATGAGGAGCTGGGTTCTCTGCGCCCAGCAAAGCAACTGATCCAGATTTTCCAGCACCAAGTTCCCAAGACACCAACAAGGATTGAACAGCAACTGAGACATTTTTCACTGGCTGAGGCCCCCCTCACTTTAGCAGAGTTTGACCATCTCCTCTTCACAAGTGTTTATTGTGCCTATCAGATTCGCTCCATTCAGGGCCTAGACAAGAATCTTTGGATCACTTTCTTTTCTCAGCTGATTGATGAAATCTTCCGTGATCTCTGCAAGGGGTTTTGCCCTGCAGATTCTACTGTCCTGGCTTCCTGGCCCTGGAAAGATAAACCCTTCTATTTAACCTCACTGAAAAAGTCCTATCATTCTCACCTTGCCATGACCAAGAGAAACCTTGAGTAAGGAAAATGCTACAGAGGAAAGTCAAGTTTTGTGTTTGGATTATTTAGAGTGCTGCCTGTCATCCAATATCATCCAGAACAGTGTGTCTTCCTGTTTTGCTTTCTGTATCATACTGAAAACTTCCTAGCAGCTTATCAATCAGCTATTTTTCCATCTTTAAATATGAAACAAGGTGATGGATCTCTCCCTAGGAACTCCATAATGAACACTCCTCTGAGGTGAATTTAGCCATCTGAGCTTTGGTATTAGATACTACTACTGCAGGTGGTGATATCCTCCCAATGTTATATGCCTTGATCACTGATAGTCAATGAGAGATGCCCTGGCACCTTTTCCAGGGTGTTAGTTCAGATGTGCTGGCTGAATTCCATGTTGGATAATTCCATTTTGTCTCTAAATTCTTCCTGTAGTTTCAATTGGCTACAATATTTTCCCTTCGTGCAATAGCCCACCATGTGCCTTAGCTATGTTGTTCATACAGCTGCTGTGTTTCACTGGGGCTTGCTGGAGTAAATTTAGTCAAGCTTCTGGCCTACTTGACTAGAAA